TTATATAGTTCTACAATTTAAATCAGTGATTCCCACTTTTTCAATCCATTGCCCCCTTTGTTCCATAAAGTTATACCCAACTCCCCAACCATACCCCAATGCTCCTTAACCCATTTTCCCTTGTGTGAGAAAAGGCTTGGAAATATTCTTAGAAAAACTTTTCTATGAACCTCATACTTTGTGTCCTTACCATACATTGTTCTCAACAACTGGAAACCATTAAACATGATGTTTCTTTAATAAATATATAAAAAATATGACATTTTCACAAAGGTGAAAACCTTGCTTCTGTCAGTCTTTCCACCGTTTCATTTCTACACCATCAGCGATCCTTAAGACAATTCACAAAAATTTTTTCCTCAAAGACGACCTTCCTTTTAAGGCTACTGCCTCCGCAAATGATGTTTCTTCCTACTCGTTTAACAGAGGAAAAGGAAAGGCTGTCAGTGACCCAAACCTTTGCTTATGGTCACCGTTCAGTACCCTGCCTCCAGTGCCCCCTGCTTGCTTCTTTCCGCCCTCCTAGATTTACTCACTGCCCACAGAGAGGTGGTAGTGCCCACTTTGGGAACCACTGATTTAAATGTTTGGAACACATTCTAAAAGAATTTTGAATATTTAAGTATGGCACAGATGATCAAGTGCATCATGACCTGAGCAATAATTTTTTGAACAAAGCAGTAGTAGTGCTGTCAGGAGAGTCTCAACATATGATATATATTGTGAGAAGCTGGAAATTTAGGGGAGGGTCATTTTAATCAAAATAACAAGTTAAAGAAAAGATTAGAAAATTAAGAGAAATTAATATTTTTCAACTTGAACGAAGTTTCTAAAAAACGGAAAAACATCCGATTTTGAAAGGAAGTTGATTTCCTTTTCCAGGCCAACTCATGATGAGTCGAATTTTTGCACACGTTACCAGAGAGCAAATAAAAGGGACGTTTTCCCGCCACATGAGGCAGTCCGCCGAAACGAGGAAATGCCACGCAAGTAGCTCGCCATATGATAGAGGCAGTCTGTCAAAAAGCGGTTTGCCTTATTGAAGAAGAGAACTAGCCATACGACAAATGCAGTCCGTCGAAATTAGGTATTGCCACGCAAGAAGCTCGCCATATGATAGAGGCAGTCCATCAAAGAAAGGTTGTCATTACAAAAACTTTTAACATATAAGCGTTAAATTAGACACCTATGTCACTAAATTGACGAGCGCTTTCGACGATATACACTTTCGTCTTCTTCAGGTCATTAGAACCTTTTTTGAATACAAAATTTTTAAAAAACATTCCAATCTTAAATAGCAAATTTGGAATGATAGCAACGGTAGAATATAAACAGATATTTAAATAAAAATATGCGCGGTAGAATATAAACAGATATTTAAATAAAAATATGCGCGGTAGAATATAAACAGATATTTAAATAAAAAACATGCGCGTTTATGTTGCGCATGCGTTATACGCCTATATATTGTGGATTTAGTTGCGATACTTTATATAACTGTACAAACTGATCCACAAAGGGGGCAAATCCAGTGTGGGGGTGTTGCAAGGCTTTAATACGTTGGTGATGAGGGCTTCCCAGATATATACAAGATTTTTGTGGTTGCAATGTTTTAATATTACCACATCATTCCACAGAGGGGTATGTTTGTGTTGTAGTACCATTCTGGCGAGTTCTGTGTCATTCCTGCCTTCTCTGATGGAACATTGATGCTCTGAATCAATGTTCCATCTTTAACGCTTATATGTTAAAAGTTTTTGTAATAAACGATTAGCGTGCTGTCCATTATCAAATTATAAAGGTTGTCATACGATCTCGTCTTATGAAAGAGTACTACATTCGAAATATACAAGAGAAGATTTAAAAGAACTCTCCTAGAAAATATTAGAAGAGAAATAATCAAGAAAAGAAGACCCTCAAATAGATATAGAAAAAGATACGAAAGACCTAAAGAAAAAGGTAATATGACCAGAGATAGATTGATGTGAACTCTCTCTCACACGTTAGGTTTAGAAATAATCTTAGGTTAAGAATTAGAATTAAGATTAAAGTTTAGATTCATTCTTATGTATAATTTTATATTTTTGATCCATTAAATATTTTGATTGGTTATATAACTATGACTTCTTTAATATTAAGGTTAGATATTCACAAGTTTAGGGATAATGCATGTTAATCCGCGTATAAAAAAGTGATTAACTGGTGTCGGGAATCCTGACGTAAGGAAAAGGTGATTACGCGATCATCAAATTCCGCTTTTAAAGTAACACATTTGCTAAAGCCATCCACCCTCGATTTTCCTTGAATTAGAAAAAGCCATTCTCTTAGACAAACAGAGGGCTATTCTAGAAAATAGTTGCCGAGTAAATGATACTAGAGTCTTACCACTCGGTATCCACGGCTTAGCCCCTCACAATATCATAAAAATATATCAAAATTATAAATTAATTTAAAATAAAATAATTAAAATTATATTAATCTCTTCATTCAGATGAACTTCAAAATATTTTATTTTATAGACCTGATGTTATTTTGCCAAGTTAATTAACCACACCATAAGTCTACATTTAATATTTCTTTTTTTATATTTATAATCAAGTTCAAGGCTGTTTCTATTCAAGGTTCTTCAGCTGTTCTTATGGGTAGGTTTTTGGCTGTTGGTATTATGATCTCTGCTTCCTCCCAAAAAGGTACAGATTTTCTGTTGTGGATCAACTCCTCTGCTAGGGCTGTTGACATCTTTGCTTTCTAAAGATTTGTTTTGTATTCTGACAGTCTAACCATTAATGTGAAATAAGTGCTGCTTACAAAGAATACATATATAAAAATCTCTAAGCCTGATAGTTATATTAAAGCCAAACGATTGTCATATTAAATCAGGCTACATTACCACTATTATTAATGACTGCTTATGACTGTCTACAGTATATAGGAAAGAGAAAGAGTCAAAATTACAGAAATTATGATTATATAATATTTGAATACATTGTATAAATAAATTCAGCATGTTTGTTATGATTTACTTAATAAATACTTTTCAAGAATGCATTTTTTCTTTTATAATTACACTCTGAAGTCACTCTAAGAATGCTGCAGGACAAATAAACAGTTAAAGCAATAAATTTTAAAATTTGTAAAAACTAACAAAGTATACTTCTAGGTGTTATAAACTATATTTTAGATATTTTGTACTAGTAAATTATCATAATAAAAGTATTAGAGAAAGCAACGCAATCAACCTAGCTAGTCTAGTAATATTTAATAATAAAGTGTGTCACAACCTCTGCAAGGTTGTTTAAGTGGTGTAGGTCCAAAAAAGTTGGGTACTACTAAAATAGATTATAACAATTTAAACATATTCGATATATATTATGTTCTACTTCATAATGAACATGAAACTATTTTCCTTTACATATTCCAACTACTGAACTTAAGTTGCATTCTTATTCTTGGAAAGATTAGTTATAATTCGTAAAATCAGTTCAAATATAATAATATGAAATAAATACAAATGAAGTTAAATGTTCTTTTAATATCATTCATTCTATAAATTTAAACAAAATTTAGATGAAGCAGAGTATTCAATGAAAATGAAATTATGACAATAGTTTAATTATTATTTTTTCTCCCATATTTATTAAAATAATAATAAAAATAAATGTCAGTCATAATATAAATTAATAAAAATATATGAAAACTCAAAAATGAAATATGTTGTTTACTCAATTCAAAAGCAGTACAATAATCTTTCATAAATGTAACAGTTAACAGCAATGTGAATTCAATAATAGATGCATTCGTGTTTGTTTAGTTATGGCAACACAACACTTGGATGATCTGCTTAGGGGGGATGCCTTCCAGGAGGTCTTTTTAAGGAAAAGTGACCTCTATTTAGGCATTACAGACGTGGAGAAAACTTGAGAAACTCCATGTGGTCAGGCCGTCTGAGCCCACAACTGAACTCCCAGTGTTCAGGGAACGAAGACCATTTGGCCACTGGTGGGCTGATGCATTCGTGCATTGCATGCATTATCCAATTAGCATGCCGGAATATAGTAGCATAAATCTGTCACAATAAATGTGTTGAACGTATCACAAAACATTTTCAATATAATGAATAACATCAAATTTCATTCAATTTTTTTAAATGTTATTTGTGTTAAGGAAAAAATTAATTGTATCAACCATATTGGGTCAAACAATTATTATACTAAAAGACAACAGCTTGTATTTGCTACATATATTTCAAGGAATTATTTTGCGGATTACTCCATTTGAGTCCAAAAAAAGACCTTGAAGAAAGTCTAAACATCACACAAGTTTACCTGACAATAGTTATCAGTAATATCACAAACGAAAGCCATCGTATGTTTTGTTCTAGTATATTTGTTGGGCGACTAAACGGTATAAACTTTATTTGACAGTAACATTTGTCACCAAAGGAACAAAGCCAGTGTTATAAACTGTAAATATCAGCTGCGTTCAGCAGAGTCGCCAGTCGTAACCAAGCAAAGACGTTTCAATCGGTAGCCATTACATAGTTATATCTGTCAAATGGCGAGCAACATATGCATTGGAACAAAAAGCAGCCATCGTCGGTCAGTTTCGGGTAGCGTAAACGGAAGACGCTACCAAACACGATGTCAAAATACCAAACATGTTCCAAAACGGTGCTACTGTAGAGTGTTTTTGTCAGAAAAATACTCAATGGCTCCGGAACTGTCAAGTCTGCTGAATGCAGCCATCAAATTATTATTTTAACTACATACAGAACATTATTATTATTTTAAATTATTATTATTCAGGTTTAGTATAGACATACCATTCAACCTTAGTAAACTCATATAAATTAAGCTTATATATTTGAAATTTTAATTATATATTTCTTTTCTTTTATACAATATGAAAAACTGAGTAATTGAAAATGGTATAAGACAATAAAAATATATAAAATGGACTTATAAATTTACAATTGTTATGAAAAGAGAAAGGCAACTTACCTTATCTGAGTTTAAATCAGGATCTTCTTGACACAAACGACACAAAAAAGACTTTGGATCTCTACCTAATGTCGTCCTAGTAGTTAGAAAATACGTTCCTCCTACATTTAACTTAACCCATTGATTGTTTTTGAAAGATTTGTCATCTCCACTGTTTTGTTTATCATGTTTGTCCGCCATTTTGAATTCGATTCGAGGAAGAAGAACTCTCGAGGCGGTGTACTCACGAGATTAAATTTTTATTACAATACTCGTATCGAGGACAAAATGGCTGCCAGGAGAATCGGTAGAAGTGCCATCGATTGGGCCGCTTTCGTAGAGAGAGTGCCGGAAAACCAAAAATCCTTTTTTCAGGCTTTTAAAATACGTTCCGATGAATATATTCGTAGGTAAGGAAAGTAAATGTAATATATATATAACTCTTTCTGCTTCTGAAATTGAAAAAAAAAATAAATCGAGTCTTGCAGGTTTGCGCTTAGTCGGATCTTCGTTGGGTTAATTATTGGAAATATTCATTAAAAAATGAATAAATAAATAAGTTTCCTCGTTTAACGGAAGTTTACTGCTACCTATGTTATCTTTCATCCGGTTGCGCCTTTTTTTTTTCTTTTTGGAATATTTTAATTAATAAATTGTTTATAACATTACACGCTGGCTTAGACAATACGTAGGTAAATTAACAATACGGTGACTACACGTCCTTTACTGTTCTGTCCTTTAGATTTTCTGTAGAATATTGGCACCCTCACGCGGCACCAATATTCAATTTGCCTAATTTATTTTGTGCGATTTATAAATTTTACCAAACCGTTGATTATTTAAATAGCTGGGATGGCTCTTTCTTGGAAATGAAAGTGTTTGTACGGATCCTATTATGAGAGCCCTCCGTGGGCGGGGAAGATCGACGAAAATGTTTTGTTCGTTTCGAGTCTCCGGAATTTGGTGATATAAATGATGGCAAACTATTTGTTGAAGTTTCGTGTGTTAAAAGTTACGTCTTCGGTGGAAAGATATAGAATGTCGACGAAACAATAAGTCCTGCCGGCAGGGGTGGATCTACATAGAGACTAATAAGGCTTAAGCCCTGAGCCCACAAAAATTGAATTATCATCATAAATTTTTAATATGTTTTCATTAATAATGAGCACTTGTCATATAGTAAAAAATAGTTAATAGGTTAGGTTGATAAAAATGTGGCTCCATTGGACTTCAATAAACTCTAGGCCCCAAAAAATTCTAGATCTGCTCCTGCCTGCTGGTGTAGATGAGTTGAAATTTTAAATATTTCATGGATAAACCTTGTATCTTTTTAAAAAATCATTTTAAAATTGACTGACTTAAACCAAATAACCTTAGCATTTATGTTCTATTAATAGAACATAAATGCTCTGATTATTTGGTTTAAGTAACTTGAATTTTGCTAATGCTTCCACTGAATGAGTATTTTCATTAGTAAGCAGTATGTGGACTGGTGAAAAACTCAATTTAAAATCAAAACATTGGAAGCAAGTATTTATACCAATACAACTTTGACATAAATTATATAGTTTTATGAATTTTTAAAACACAAATTTAATTTATTAAAAAAGAAGTTCATTGTTGTGAAGAGTATCAAAATTAAAATTTTTTTAAAAAATATGATTGTTTAAAATGCTATGTATATGCTTATATTTTATAATAAATGTTTTAAAGCTTTTTAGTTTTAGTGAAACAAATAAATGCAACATGCTTTTTTTATTATGAAAATTTTTTATTTGTCCTTTATTTTCTCCAACAAATATGGTCACTGTAATTATCAGTATGTTTTAAATCTGATAATTTGATTTGAAGTGTGTGTGTATTTGTGTGCAAACACGGTTATTCAAATTTTTTTATTCAAGCAAGTATGCGTATCATATTATATGTGCCCTTAGTTTTAGAATATTGAAATTTTCAATGTTGTTTCAAGCCATTCATCTTATTTTCTTTAATGACAACTAATAGTGTAATTTTTCTTTTTCATTATCCTAGCTTTCCTATAAATTATGTGTCACTGTCATTGGTGATAGTGCTCTAAATGAACCTGAAATAATGTTGCTATGTTTAGTTTTTATAGATTAAATTAAAAGTTACTATATAAAAAGAATTAAATGTTTAGAGGTCTCTTAGACAAATGCAAGTAAATGAAAATATCAGATTTTATGAAAGAAAATTAGAGAAAAATCAAGATATTGCTGATACAGTAGAGCATCGTTTATCCGAATCAATTGGGGACTGGAGTTGTTCGGATAACTTATTTTCGGATAACTGATTGTGTACGAAAAAATATATTAACCTATCCCATCCTGAAATTTTTCTCCGTTGCGTGTCGCTTTGCTTTGAATTTTCATCGATGTTAAGCGTAACGTAAACATTTTAAAATAATAATCAAGGCTATTGTATTGTTAAAAATTATTTCTTTATTTTGTACAAACAAAATAAATATATTGAAAAATATAAAAACAATAAAAAATTATACTTTAGAAGTTAATTTAGTATCAAAAATGTAAAATATTTGAGTAGCCCAAGACAGCCAAAGATTGCAGTGCCACAGCACTAGCGAAAATTTAAATTTGCCAACTGGAATTCTTTCGGATAACCAACATTTCGGATAAACGACGCTCTACTGTACTTTAGATTAAGGTTACCCGGAAATTTAATCTCGTTTTTGAATTTGTATACATTAAAATCAAATATCAATTAAAAATTATAGTTCAAAAATATATCAAAACATTAAATTTAAGAAAATTTAATATTTTAAATATTGAAATTTTTATATATTGGGTTGTTCGAAAAATAATTTTGCTTTTTTTTTTACCACTAGATGGATTAGTCGTATTTTTCCTGCCATTTCCATTTTAAATTGTATTATCATTATATAAACCACAACTGTACCCAGCAGAAAATAATTAAATATGTAATCAACACCTTATCACTCGCTGAGAGATTTTTTATTAAAACAAATGTTTTCGATCCATTCAATGGATCATCATCAGGTTAAATATGCACAAAATAAATAACATATTACCAATACTAAATATGAATACTGCCTACCTAACTAAATAGAGTTTTCTATATATCATACTAAAGTTCATGCGTTTTTTGTAAGCTTTTAACTGCAAACTTCCAAGCAGAAGGAAGACCCTCTGCGTCCCTTGTGTTAATGCATTTTTCTTTAAGCTTGCTTCTATAAATTTCTATCTTTTCAGCTGTTCTTGCCAAAGTCAGAGAGTGTATCTGTTTCAAGATTTCTGCTTTATCCCATCATACCAATGAATCTTCTGCCTGCGCCATCTGGGCCAATACTGTCGCATTAGAACCTTTTCTAATACCATATCTGTGTTCTTTGATCCTTATACCTAGGTTTCTAGTAGTAACCCCTACATATTCTTTTTTTATTCCTAATAGCTGGTTCTCCTAAGGAATCTTATACAAACCTGCCTTATCTTCTTTTCTAACAACCCCTTTATTGTTTCTAAGTATTTTGTACAAATTCGGAGCTCTTTTTAAGACCATCTTTGTATCTTTTATATTTGTGATTTCTTTCATAATGCCTCCTAAGTGCTTGTTGTATGTAAATTTCGTGTATTTAGATAGACCTTGTACAGATTTTGTATCATTACTAGCTTCTAATAATTCCCTTTACAGCATTCCTCTTGTAACCCAATGTTCCTGCCAGCTGCATAATTCTTTCTATCTCTGCATCCTGGTCTATAATGTTTTCACAGTATATAAAGGCCCTTCTAACCAATGCTCGAAACGCTGCTAATTTATACCTATAAGGGTCATTATAGCTTGCAGGGATATATAGTGGGCTATGCGTTGGTTTAATGAATATGTTGGTGGATATACGTCCTTTGCTAAATATGATATTAATGTCTAAGAAATTGTACCATCTTAGAGCTTTTTTGCTCTAGCTTCAACCTAAGGCCTTTCTCGTTATCGTTAATTCTATCTACAAATTTAGCAATTACTCGATTGTTTTTCCATATAATGAATATATCATCTACATATCTCTTGTAGTATACAATATCTCTTTCAAAGCTATGCAGAACTTTTCCTTCTAGTTTTCTAACAACAAGCTCGCATAGAAGCCCTGAAATTGGGCTTCCCATTGGGACCCCCTATTTTGCTTATACGTTTGGCCTTCGAAAGCGAAGAAGGATTCGCAACATACTAGGTTAACCATCTCTGCAACCTCATTACTGTGATGTGCTAACATTGGATTTACTCTATTCAAAAACTCCAAAAGTGCTTCTACACAAGAGTCAATCTTAATAGAAGGGTACAAATTTTCGTAATCTAAAACAGTTTCCACTTTTTCATCCATTAAGGTAATGCCTTGTAGTTCTTTGACCACCATTACAGGATCCTTTGCCACCAATTCATTATTTTCCATCCTGGAGGAGATATACTCTTGCAATCTTTATTCCAGGAAAAATGTGGGTTCTTATCGTTTTCCACAATAGGTCTTATTTCCTTGCCTTCTTTATGAGTTTTAGCGAAGGCAAATAACCTAGGGGTCCCTGGTCTAGGGTTCTGGCATCTTCGTAAAAAAGGTAAGATCTTTGCTAGTTTTGTTCCCTCCAGTTTTTTAATCCTTCTATCAATTGCTTCAACTATATTACTATTGATCTTAATACATTCTGTTTTTCTCATGTATTCTTCTAATGCTTTACTGTATTATACGTTTGTATAATACATTATAACTATTTGTTTGCTTTTATCTGCTCTTGCTGTGATTAAGTTATTCTCTTTCAGCCATCTCTTAGTATAACTGATATCCTTATTATGACTTCCTTTTTTCCACTTTTCCTGATTTTTTAACACCGCTTTCCAACGTATATAGTCCTTCTCAACCGGATCTAACCGTATAATTCCTCTTTCAATCTCCTGGAATGATGTTTCCCATAACCCAGCATACTCAGGGACAAAGTTCAGGCCTTTGTTCAGAAGCTCCTTTACTCTATTTGGTACTTCAATCTGGTCTCATATTACGTAAGTTGTAATGTTCTTCCTATTATTATTTGGAACTTGCTTATAAATGATGTATTCATTTATAAGCAAGTTCCAAATAAGTATAAGTGCTTATTCATTTTTTTGGTGTATCGTTTTTTCAAATTCTTATACGTTATATCCATAAGCCAAGTAACTCCAGATAAGTTTATGGATATGAACTTAGGAGCAACGATCAAAACTTTTATGAATGTGAAATCATGCTACTACCAGAAATGATGACAACAGGTATTTGACCAGAATGGTTAATATATAATTCAATAAAATATTTATTTACTATAAAAATATTGTGTTTTTTTTCCACGTAAAAAAACAAACTTACTTTCTGAACAACCCAATAAATAAATTTTCTATAAATATATAAAAAATTGCATTTTGCTTTAATCAATTTTATGAGATTATAAAGAAATGTTTTTGATCTTTTAGAGTTAATTCTTATCCGGAAAATCCTCCAGCTATAGATTGGGAATTTTATCGTAAAAGAATAGCAATGCCAGGGATTGTTAATGAGTTTGAAAAAGCGGTAAGCCTGCATTTCCCATATCTTTCATAAAGGATTTATTAAATATTTTAAGATGATGGAAAAGTTATTGAGAAGAATATAATAAAATTTGTATTTAATTATTGATTTAATAATCCTGATATTTATATATCAGAATTATTTTTCTTTTATAACAAACATTATAAAATGTTTGTTATTAAGGAAAAATTTTAATAATTTATGACTTACATTTAATTAAACCAAAAAATCATCATCTAAAGTCTAAATAGTAGAATTTCTACACTGGAGTACTGTACGATGCACATATCTCTAAGCCTTTTACCGGTGTGTGTCTCAGAACAAACTATACAATAAAGTTACAAACATTTTCAAACTGTTACAGTTCTTCAGGCAACTTGAACTTCCTAATCGATAGAACAGCATGAATAGCGCGCAGGTCTGTAATGACATCATGGGTTCGCATGGGACAGTGTTTCGGATGATATTTCATAACAACTTTGAATTGGGGTGTATTCAATTAAGAAGTTCAAGTTGCCTGAAGAACTGTAACGGTTCAAAAATGTTTGTAACTTTATTGTATAGTTTGTTCTGAGACATACACTGATAAAAGGCTTAGCGGTACATGCATTGTAAGGTCTAAATGTTAATTCACTATAACATGAAAATATGATTTAAAGTATATTTTTAATGTTCTGTTTTATTGTACAATTTAAGTCATATTTTTATATTCAAAGGTTATAGTTTAGTTCTGATATTAAAATATTTGAAACAAAATATCAAATAATATAAAATGAATTGACTTCTTGAATTAAGTTTGATATACATTGTATATACATTTGTGTCCAAAAAATAAGCATAACCATTAATTTGGCCTATATCCTAGAAACTATTGATTAGAACAATGTGAAACTTAATATTCAAGCAGAACATTGTATTCTTTATGTCGAAACATTTGAAAAGTAAAAATTTAATCTAAGTCAAACAAGCACAAGTAGTAAACATTGTTGTAAATCTTTTTGCACAGAAAATGATTAATTTGGTATTTGCATGCTAGTTATAATGCATGCATGCTGCACAGCAATTGCTTATGCTAGTTGTAATATTGTTTATTAGTTCTGTTGGGAGTAAAATCCATTCTTAAACAAGATTTAAATCATTTTGAAGCTTCTAGATTGTTCTTGGTGGAGCCTGGTAGGATATAATATCTCCCTAGAACATCCCACATGTATCTATGGGATTTAGGTCTGGAGATTTTACTGATCATTCCATGCAATGAATATCTTCACTGTCAAGAAAGCTATTGATGAGACATATTTATGCATAGACATTATCATCCTTTATACATAGACATTATCATCCATGAAAGTGAAATCTGTGGCCACAGCTAGTGTTGCCACCTTTTCAAAATTGCTGACCCGGATGGCAGGTCAGGTTTGTTTGAACAGAAGTTCCTGGTGCATGCGCAATGCCATTTTACAATGCAAAGAATAACATGCATGCCAGTTCTAACTCAGTTACAGTTAGGGACTAGAGACTTGTGTAGGAGTAACATAAGTAACCCTAAATTAATAAAGAACAGGTACAAATGACTTAGCTCTATTGGATATTGGAGACATGTACAATCGTACATGCAAAAAAAAGAAAAAGGTCAACAGGTTGTGTGCCACACGTTGGTGTAAACAGACTAACATGGCAGAATTACAGATGAGTTTCAATGAGTGTGAATTCTTTCGCTGTTAAAATAATGTAAATTTGTAAAAATATTTGCAAGAACTTTGTTTTATCATAATTTCACAATTTCTATGAAATTCCCGGACAAAATTAATAGTTCACCTGGACAGTGAGTCAATTCCCAGACTGTCCAGGTGAAAACCAGATGGGTGGTAACATTAACCACAGCCTCCAGGAAAAGTCTCACATATATCTATACTTTTTCAGTAATGGCACTCTCCTGCAAAAATGATATTGCACAATTAAGCATAATGCCATACTGATGAGGGGAAGGCATGATGTTGGAGCCACTGATTTTGATCAACTTGATTGTAGTGCATCCCCAACAACTGAGATGCACCAAATAGTAAAGCTCAATACTCAAAATTAAAGGAGAAAATTGAGGTTGAAAATTGCAAATCACTTAAAACCTTTAAAATATCTACCATTTGTATGTGTAGCCAGTGGCTTGGTAGTGATGTGCTGGTTTCATAATCAGTGATATCAATGTATTTTTTTTTTTTTTATATACAAAATTATAATTTTTAATTCTTGGTACTTTTAAGTTTATTGTACTGTCAGAGAGAAAAACTGATTTAGAAAACTACAAATGCACAATAAACAAGATAATAAAACAATAAAATCCATCTGTTTCAAGTAACAAGTCAATGTCAAAAGCAATTAACAAATGCTTCCTAACAATATTTATTTAAAAACAAATCATTTTCTATATTCTCATGAACAGTACATAATTACACTGGCAACAAAATCATTGTTTAACTAAAACTTGTCTATAATTGCATCTTCCTTTGCTAAAGAATTAAAAAATGGCTTTGATATCTTGAGCTAACATTGATAGCACAGAAATCACTGCATGACAATATTACAAATTTTACATATTGTGAAAGCAATTTCCAAAATCAAGAACTAATTGCAGTTGAGGGTTCTTCAACAATTACAGAAGTTGTGAAGGTGGTAGAAAAAAAACATTAAGTGCTTTGATAGTTTCCAATATATGAATATATATATCATATATAATATGATATATAGCAAGAATTCTACTAAAAAATATTTCAGATGGGTCCAATTATGATTATCAGAATTTATCAGTTCATTATTAAACATATTAAAACAGTGGAGAGCCTTAATAATGATATATATATATTTAATTTTGTTGTGGTTCTAACTTTTGTTTAATATTATAATAGATTGATTAAATTTAAGAATAGAAGATAACTTACATAATAATTATTTATTGTCGGAAGATATTATATATTTACTAATATTTGTAACCCAATGCACCCCTTGTAACTGGAATTTTTTCCAAATTACGTTAATAAACTTGAATTGAATTGAAT